TCGATCATGACCAAAACCTTCCGAAAGGTGCTTCCGCATGATCCAAGTTTCGGAGAACCCCACCCTACGGTCCAGTATTCGTTGGCAAACGGCCCGATGCGCGTCCCTGGAAGCCTAGTTTCCGTGCAGAGAAGTGAAGTGCAAACGCCAAGCCGAACCCCTAAAAAACACAAGTGCCCTGAACCCTAAACCCAAACCGAATCCCTAAAAACCACAATTGCATAAAATGGGAGCGTTATCGGGTTAAGGTTCTCGGGGCCTTGCTGGTCCGTAGGGTGAATGGCGCTTCATAGGGCATGTCATAATCGTGCGTTATAGGGTTCAGCGGTGATACGTCTTTGCGCAGCTACAGGGTAAAAGAGCTTAGGCCCGAAGGCATAGGCTTTGCAAACCAATTGTGTTTCATGAAGTTTATGAGATAAGAAGCACTTTGAAGGTTTGGGAAGCAAGGTTTTGCCCTGTTAATTATAGAAGGCAAGCTTCATGTATAAGGTTCCCATATGATCAAGGCATTAAGCGTGTCTGGAGGGCAATGAACGGGTCTCGATTCCCGCCCTGCAGTCTGTTGGTTGCTGACGTTGGTCTTTGGTCAATGAGCTCTGATGTAATCGAAGCCCGCACGAAAATAATTTTGATCTTGCTTGGGCTTGGCATCCTTTGCGGGTCAGCTGAGTGTAGTGCGCAAACCAGTGGGACAACTTCTTCAACATACACTGCACGGCAAGGGGTCCTGCATGATAGATTGAGGAATATATTCCAACAAGTACAAAACTCCCTGAGCGACCTCGTTCACATGCCGCAGGGACGTTGTTTCCGGGGATAGAAACTGCTTCAGTACCACACAGCGTGTCATACTGACTTTCATGGTGGCAACCTGCATCTTGTAGGACTTCTCTAGTGGCACTTTGGCAGCTGAGACCAAAGGCAAGTTGTCATACCTGTTCTGCAACATCTGTTCCTCGAGCAATCCTAAGTCCACAGCATTTAGCGGAATGTCATTGATGACATCTAGGAAGTTTTTCGTCTCTTTTCAAAGTTTAGGAGAGATGCTTCCAAGGAAAATAGGAAAATCATCAAGACAACCAAAGATGTCGTCCTGCCGCAGGAAGGTGGGAACCTCAAAGTTTGCGACGTCGTAGACCTTGATTGCCTCTAGGGCATGAAAGTACGCCGGATGGGCCATTGCATCGCAGAGTGGGAACATACCGCTAAGATCCGCTAAGTGCATAAGCCGGCCACGGATTTGAAAACCCATGTTGCTCTAAACTTCTATAATGACGTCGATGTATCCACGAAGTGGCTTTATTGAAACATGGGTCTCCATATGCCAGCCCGACCAATGTTTGCAAGACAATCTTCGTTTCTTGAATCCAAATGTTGTTTTCAAAGTTTATGATGAAGCCGATGCAAGCACTGAAGTGTTTTCATTGAAAAATGGTGCTCCGTATGCCAGCCCTGCCAATGCTTGCAAGGCAACCATCAACAGTATCAACCAAGCAGGCACATGCAATGGGCGTTTGCTCTCCAGCCCCGCCGGCATCTCTGGTAAAAGACGATACGGAAAATCACACGGTGCATAAGACTAGCTATGATCTCCTTCTTATCATCGGACCCTCCGGTTCGTTTGTCGAACAACCAAGCGGTCGATCGCCACGCATCCGACCAGCCACAATCCCAACCGGTCACATGCACCTGGCACAAGTCGTCCATGTGAGCGGCCGTATTGTTCTGAGACAGCTTCTGGTCGTCATCCATGTCTGCATCCTCATTGTCCTCAGACGGCTTCTGGGCATCATCCGAAGAACTAGAACTCCATTCGGCGGCCTCCGACTCCGGGGAACAGGCTTGTCGATGTTGGGTGTGGGCGTGGGAGGCGTGGAAGCGGATGAAGCGGCTTTTGTCTTGGGGTCCTGCTGGTTAGAACCATGCATGGTTCTCATCTGCGCGTTTGTGCTTATGCTCTTCACGAGTTGGGTCGTCAGTCAAAAAAACCCTGCATGGGGCTTCTCCTGGATCACACCGTTCCACGCACGACCAGTTCCCTAGCCATGTTTGCACCTTTCTGTAGGTAGTTCATACGCACTGCCAGCTGTTTTTTGATGACTTTGTCTCTTGCTCTCGTGTACAACGACGGTGCCAGTCTGGATGCATGGAATACTTACTGCCTTTGGCTTAGAGACTGGAATGGTGCCAGCATCTCGGCTGCCGAGCGCGCTTGCTGGGTGCGAGAAGTCTTGCTCCCTGACGAAAACTAGTAGGTCGTTAGACTATTGCAAAGTGTCAGGACAATATCTTCGCCGTCATCCGAAAGAACCATTAGCCGCTCTTCTGTGTGAGCTGCCGAAAGCGTTGTTACAGCTTGGCAAGTTTGACTTGCTTCTGCAGCTTCTTACTGACACGCTTCTTGCCTTTAAGTCTTTTGAGCTGCTGTGACCCTAAACCCTAAAACCTAAAGCCTCAACCTGTGGTACAGGTATTTAGGTAACTGGAGCAAATTGAATACTTGCGGAACCTCCACAGAGAAGCCTGACGTGTACAGAACTACTAGTGAGACCCTATGATAGAACCCTATAGATCCCTTCCAGGGGACCCCTATGATAGTGTTGGGATTATGTTTTTAGGCTAAGGAGTTCGGGTTTTTCGATACTATGATCGAACTGATAGAACCCTATAAGGATATGATTGCTGACTACTCAGACCCCCTCTGTGATGCCGCAATTCCGCGACTTGGCTTCTGGGACATCGCGATCTGGCCACGACATTGGCACAACGATCAATAAGCAAACAAGCCTCCAATCTGGGATCCAGCACTTTAGGGCTCCTAAAAGCCCCTTAACCCTAAACCTTTAAACCCTAAACCTTCAAACCCTTCAGGGTTTAGGCTTGAGGGTTAAACCATGACTGATTTATGAAACTAGAGGGGATAATGTTAGTATATGACTATATTCTGAAACTCTACAGTTAAGGCATGAAGATAATAGTCATTCAAGCCCCTTTTGCCTCAACCCTAAACCCCTAAACCCCTAAACCCCTAAATCCCTAATCCCTAAACCCTAAACTCTAAAGCCCTAAACCCTAAAGCCCTAAATCCTAAACCCCAAACCGTGGCCAGGATCCCGATGCGGCTGCACACCGCCCGAGCCATCAGCACCTTCGCACCTCACCTCACGAAGATTTGGAATCTTCGGGGTTCCATTGAAGGAATTATAGGGGTTTAGGGTTTAGAGTTTAGGGTTTAGGGTTTAGAATCTTCGGGGTTCCCTTAAAGGAACTATAGGGGTTTAGGGTTTAGGGTTTAGGGCTTAGAATCTTCGGGGTTCCCTTAAAGGAACTGTAGGGGTCCCTGTGAAAAAGGGGTATATAGGGGTTTATGCTTCAGTTTAAGGTTTAAGGTTTAGGGTTTAGGTCCCTGTTCTGAGGGTATATAGGGGTTTTATGTTTCAGTTTAGGGTTTAAGGTTTAAGCTTTAGGGCTTAGGGCATAGACTTGTCCATGCAGCTAGGGTTCAACAGTTTCTGCGCATTTCCCCTACAACCGTTGTTGCAAAGCAATGCTCTCATCAAGCCGCTGTACAGCCTTCTGTCCTACTTGCAGTACCTAGAGGGTCATACCCTATCCCTCTTCTAAGGTACCTAATTTTATCGTTAGGATCTGTTATATGGAAAAGTAAGTGACGCAAAACAGGGATAGGGTATAAGCCTACAGCTACGCTAGGAGAACTAATGGTTAAGCTTCGTGAACATACAGGGATTATAGTACCCCTTGTAGGTTAAAGGTTACCTACTCTACTGCTGGGCAAATAAATCCTGCCTGCCACCAATCAGCAGTAACAGCTAGAAACTCTGACATCGAAGCCGCTGAAGCAAATTCAAGACACGGGGGGAAACATCCAGCTGCTTCTCTTTTACTGGGAGAAAAAGCGTAAACGCCCAAACCCCTAAATCCTAAACCCCAACCATAAACCCTAACTAAGCCTTAAACCGTACCTCAAAGAGGCTATGAATCTCGCGAGACGAATGTGTTAGAATTAGACCTGCTTAATCAAAGGGTCATAACCTACTGTTTTGCAGGGTTCGCAGCCTCACATGTGTTTTGACGGGAAAGAGGTTGCAGAAGCCGATAAAGGCTAGCGGCCTGCTTCCAGAAGAAGAGGCAAAGGCTGTATGCTAAAGTCATGGCAGACGTGGAATATGCTCTTATATTTTCACGGGAGAATAGGTTCATATACATATATACGCATGTGTATTTCTTCACATCTATATTTCTTTGTTTTTTAGACTTATATATGTATATGACACATACACTCACACATGTGAGGATGTCGTCAGTCTGTCTTAGGCTTTTATGTTTAAATACAGTTTCGCTGCTCACCGGTTCAGCGAGACGAAAGAACGACCAAAGAAGCGAAGAGTCCGAAGCACATTGGACAGTGCATGTTGTAGTATTGTTGATATACATAAGGAACCCTCAAGGAGTATACATCCCTAAACCCTATAAACCCTAATGCTTCAGGTTGCTCCGAATCTTTGATGCGATGGAGGATGACAAGGCTTAGGATGACTTCGACGGCTGCTTAATCGGTTTTGAGTTTAGGGTTTCGGGTCTAGGGTTTAGGGTTTGGGGTTTAGGATTTCGGGTTTAGGGTTTAGGTCATGATGAAGCTTGCAGTTTATGTAACCTTATGATGATGACGATGATGGCGGTGGTGATCTTGAATGGTGAAAGTGCAGACGACGATTCCACGGTCCCTAACTGCCCTCACTGCATCGGATGTCAATTCCTGCCCTTGTCTGTTCGGGACAGTTCAGCACGCATTGTTTTGTCGAACAGGGCTTGCGCGCTCAACGTGTAACGATGCTTCCGGGCCTTTCACCCAGCACATCGAGAGTAGCTCATTAATATAGGGGCCTTAACCATTAGAATAGGGTTTTGGGCTGTTTTTACTATAACTATTATAATAAGGAGCCCCCCCAAAATAGTACTGGTAATTATTTCAGCCCCTATATTACCCCTACAAGACGAAATAATCTCTGCGGGACCCGACGTCTCCAGCAACAGCAGAAGTTACGCAAGAACGTCTTGGCCATCTGGCCCCGAAGCAGCAAGAGCAGAATCTTCAGCGGAATGGCCCAAACCAGCAAAGTGGTAAGACCCACAAGGAGGCAGTATGACAGAACCCAGTCTGTGACGCCATCACCTTCACCCGGAGATTTATGGCAGACCAGGCGCGACAAACCGAACACAGCTGCAAAAGTGGCAAAGCGAAGTCGCTGCTTCCATCTACCCACCAGAGAAGCCAGCACAGCCAGGGCCCAGCCCCGGTCAAAGAAGCCGAGCCTGTCAACCTCCAGCAGCATCTGCAAGATGTTCGTATCATGGGCGGTCGATGCAGCTACCAGGCTTGCACGATAAGCCTGGGTTGCTGTTTGGTGGTATTGCAACAACATATGGACAACTTGTAGCTGGCCAGCTCCCGAGGCGACTTGAAGAGCGCGGCCTGCATCACCACCAGCCTCCAACCTCAGGGAAGCCCTGAATGGGTTTAAGGTTCATGTACCATATAGGTTTGAAAAGATCACGTCATTATGGTACAGATGTTCATAGTATATGCTAAAAGGGCTTAATGTTCATCTGTAGTATATCATATCGGGAGTCATAGTATAAGAGTACAGGGCCCCCTACTTATAAGGGTCATTTGGTCCCCAAGCAACAACAAGCGAAGTACACGCGTGTGGCCACCTGAAGCAGCAGCAGCAAGAGCCAATTGGTCGCCGGTGTCGGATATGTCCTGCGCCCCGGCCTCAAGTAATAAACTCACCATGCTTGGGTGCCCTGCTGTCGCGGCAGCATGGATGGGTGACAGATGCTGGTTGCGGAAGCGCGCGGTCAAGTTTGGATTGTGGCACCTGCGCAACATGTCCTCGACGGTACGACCATAGTCCCGAAACACAGCCTGTATGAAGAGTTCTGCATCCTCCGCAGAAGCTTGGCATAAAGGAAGCAGTACCAGCTGCACATCTGAAATCGAAGCCAGTTGAGCATCGTCGTCCAGGACCGCACCTCCATCCAAGATTCGTTGCCGGATTCTTGGCACCCCCAGAAGCATCTGCAAATGCCGCTTCAGTTCATACACGTCCCCTATGCTAGAGATAGGAAAACTCGCCACTTCCTCCCCCGAGGGCCTCCAAACGCGCAGCATCCTTCCGGAGTCGGCTCGGGCAAGTTTAAATTCCTGAAAAAGGCCGATCCCTAAACCTCCCAAAAGAAGGTAAAATAATAGCCGAAGACCCATAGAAAGGCTAGGATTTCACATACTTTCGGGACCCGGGTTCATAGCCCTCAACCCTGAAAAGTGGCAGACCAAATGGCGGATCGAGAGATCGTAGAGAGAGAG